CGTTCCCAAAGACAAAGCTATAAAGAAGTTCGTCATTCGGAACATAGTGGAGGCCGCAGCTGTGAGGGACATTTCTGAAGCGAGTGTCTTCGACGGTGAGTGAGCCATGGTACTCCTCTTTTGAAGGCTGTGTTCGTTTTAGCGTCTCCGGCAATTTCCACCTATTTCAAGATTGTTGCTATTAAAGAAAAAGGCATGTCTGTCTTTAAAAAGATAATGTTAATAAGCTAACAGGCCCAGGCCTGTAATCCTGGCCCTCTGGGAGGCTGAAACGGGAGGATTGCTTGAGCTCATGAGAGCGAGACCTTCGTCTCTGCTAAAAGTAGAAAAACTAGCCGGGCATCGCGGCAGACATGTGTACCCCCAGCTATTCGGGAGGCTGATACAGAACGATATTTTGAGCCCAAGAGTTGGAGGTTGCTGTGAGCTATGATGACTTGCAAGAAAAAAAAAATTTAGGTAATAAGATTCTGGAATAGGTATTATGGCTGGTGCACTGGTGGAAGGCATTGGATGCTTGGTTTATTACTTCTGGGGTGTGGATTTATATCCTATGATGTCAAGATGAGCTTACAGGATGGTGATGGTATTGGTTTGTGAAACTGACAGTTATACTTATTATGTGCTTGGGTATCAGAAGCTGAACATTCGTTTTGAATACTTTTTTTTTTTGAGGCAGCCTCAACCTGTCACCCTGTGTAGAGTGCCATGGCATCACAGCAACTTCAAACTCCTAGAATGAAGTGAGTCTCTTGTCTCAGCCTCCTAAGTACCTGGGACTACAACACCCGGCTAGTTTTTGGTTATAGTTGTCATTATTGTTTGGCAGGCCCAGGCTGGATTTGAACTCGCCAGCTCTAGTGTATGTGGCTGGTGCCTTAAGCTGCTTGAGCTACAGGTGTGGAGCCTGAACATTCGTGTTGGTAGTGAGAAAGTTTTATAGATGTGCCTGACAAATTTAAGTAAGCTTAGTTTTGACTGAGCACAAGCAAGAAATACCAGTGCAAGGTGGTAGGTAAATTATCTAACATTAAATTTTTCTTTTCAGCTCAGCGCCTGTGGCTCAAGTGGCTAAGGCGCCAGCCACATACACCTAAGGTGGCGGGTTTGAAACCGGAAATTAGGACACCCATAATTACATCCGGG